TACAAAATTACACCGATGGATACAAATTATGTAGGACACACACACACACACACATGAAAACAGATACTTCCATAAATTTTACGGTGGAGAATATTAGACCTAAAAAACCTCTTTAGGCAAGCGCCTATTGATCTGATCGACTACAATTGGTCTTTTTTTTTTATTAGACCATGGATGGGGGCTATGGATTAATGGTGTGTGGTGGTGATAGGGTTAACCCTTTAGGATGCTACAGCTCTATGAAGGGACATGATGCAGTTCCTTATGTCAATGATAGTTGTGTTGCAAGGGTTAACTGTTTGACTACTATGTCATGTAGAAAGATTAAAACACGTATCAAGTTGTGCTAGTTTATTTGGTTAAGACAGCTATATGCCTGAAATTCATCACCAAACTAAGTTTTTTTTTCTTTTCATAGCCGACTGCAAAACTTTCGTAAAATCTGATTTTTTTTTTATAACCACCGGCATTAATCCAAAGTAGAACAAACATGGCGTGAGACCAAGGGAGATAACTCCAATCTCAGGATCTCATTGATGTTGTTTACCTCCGTTTAATCGGGAACAAAATGGCTGCTTTGTTTTCAGCTGCGTGGTCATCTATTTATAGAAATTGTTAGTAAATAGAGTTGAAAAGTGGGTCAAAAGTAGGCGGGTCTAGTGAAAACAATTAGATATACACTTATGAACACTTATGTCATACAAATGCATCGATTGTTGCTAGAGGTTGACCACGGGAAATCTCTTTATTTTCAAGCTATCTGTTGTTGACAATTTCGTCCATTTTTTCGTGAAAAAAATTGGCTGCTATGTTTTAAATTACTCAGTCATTGTTTATAGAAATTCGAAGTGAATGACCGGGGATTTTCGTCAAAAGTAGGCGTATCTAGTACTTAGGCTAAAAACAATTATGAACACTTATGTCATACAAGTATTAACCGCAATCCATCACAGTACTAACACTTTAAAAATTATGAACATTTATGTCATACATGTATTAGTTGTTTCCGGTTGGAGTTCAACATCAGCATAAACATAGTTGATTGTAACACCGAAAGCATTAAAACTAACAAAAATACCCCCCCGCCCAAAAAAAAAGGTTAATGGCCTTTGCGTGCCACTACCTTACCTAACTGGGTCTTTAGCGACGTTTCTATTATCCGAAAGAGGAAATACTAGATCTAGTAGACTGAGGGAAGTAGATGGACTGCTAGGACCACAGTAGGGGGGGGGGGGCTGCCATCTTAACCCAGGAATGGCCGTTGATCTCATTAGTGCATAGTCCGGCCTGATTGGTCGTTGGCGTGTTTGAGGTGTCCCGTCAATGTAACTAACTATAAGTAACAATATAGGCATATATATATATATATATATATATATATATATATATATATATATATATATATATATATATATATATATATATATACCCTAGTTTTGGCTGCTATACGACTTTATATCTCTAAAATTCGCCTTGGCGAATACGAAACCCTCTCGCCGCCTGTAATGACAGCCATACACCAATCTTTCAGAACCTCCAACAGCGAACAGCTAAAGTTACCATACCACTATAGCTGCAGCCATAACCATCAGCCAGAAACATCCGGCTGGAGAAATAATATTTTAAAAATCTGATGGCTAAAACAGTCGGACGTAGTGGACAGCGTCCGAGGTGAGCGATAGGTCAAGTTGGACTACTCGCACGCCGTGGTTGGTGTGGGTAAACACAGCACATCAACACAGTGCCAGACTTTTTTCAACACACCCTCCCCCCTCCCTGCAGAAGTACTCAACTCGGATTCGGGTTTTCAGAGGGTGGAAAACAATATCGGGAATTTCCGTTTTCCAGGCACCGGTGAGTGCGTCGGTGCCGCAGGTTACCGGATCCCCCAGGTAACGCAGGTGGGTTCCAGCGTCATCTGACACTCTCTCAGATCCGACTAATTACCTCGAGCTTTGATGTGAGACTTTGGGTTTCAATTTTGTTTTTACTGACCACGTGACTCACACGGGATCAGGGTTCAAGTCACGGGTCAATATACGGTGCTTGGAGGCGGGACGTGACCTCTGAACTTTAGGTTCTAGGTGCTGTTAGTTTTTGTGACGTCAATAATGTTGAATGTTGTTTGGGTTTAAAATAAATGCCCTTTTTATTAATATTACTGCGTGTTCAGACTGTTTATGTTTTATTTTCCAGTTTTTGTTAAATTTTGAACAGTTTGTACATACATTTCTAAACTTGATAATGTGATAAATGTTGAAAGTTAACGAACAAGCCCCCAGTGCATGTTTAAGCCCAACATTGAGATGACCCTCAATGAAATCTACGAGACGTTCTTTTTTTTTTCACCAGATAGGCTAAACCTCACTCTAACACTCAAACCCAAACCATAAACTCGTCCCTAGTAAACAATGGTGTGGTTGTTAGGGGTAGAAAACTTGGATAATTTTGTTCACTCTACCCTTTGTATAATGTTTTGTAGCTGAACAGCCACTAATCCAGCGTGTATAATCATACCATTCCCGATATTTATTCAACATTTCCCTTTTATATACAAAAAGGTCATACCCCCCCCCCCCGCCTTATACCCAAACACCAGACCCTCTCCCTATACGCCATCATACCAATATAGACCTCCATTTTAAAAATGCAGAACCCTTAATTGCTAATAAACCCCCATTATTCGCCAACAGTCTCCCTCCTCTTATTCAACAACAGACCCCCACTATGTGCCAACAGACCCCCCAACATGATCCTTCTATTCACCAATAGACCCCCCTTATTCCCCAACATGACCCCTTCTATTCGCCAACAGACCCCCTTATTCCCCAACATGACCCCTTCTATTCGCCAGCAGACCCCCACTATTTCCCAACAGACCCCCATTATCCACCAACAGACCCCCATTATCCACCAACAGACCCCCCCCCCCCACCAACAGACCACCATTATCCACCAACAGACCCCCCATTATCCACCAACAGACCCCCATTATCCACCAACAGACCCCCATTATCCACCAACAGACCCCCATTATCCACCAACAGACCCCCCCCCCTCACCAACACACCCCTAGTTCCACATACCCTAGCCTAAGCCCCAGTTTTATGAGGCGCGAGTGTAATTGATACAGCAAAAAACCGTGCGTTAGATATACATCTAATCGTTATGGCGGCGCCGGCTTGTCGTTCCTGCATTGGCCGTCAATGGCCCAGCCGGCAAGTTGTTCTGTATCGGGTGGCCAGTTGCCTTTATTTCGGCTGCTCGTCTCTACAAGGTCCTGGCCAGCCTACAGCAATAAAACTGACATGCGCAGAACAGAGGCTGGTTGGAAGTAAATACCTAAGATGGAGATGTTACAGAACATCAATCCACGTGGGTAAATTACCCGCAATTCACGTGCAAAATACCTGAAATTTACCTGCCAAGAATTGATAAAGGCGGTGTTGTTTTCTAATCTCATTGTTGTTCTTTATTTAATACAGATTTTTACTTGTGAATTGCGTGGAGTAGGCCCCTATGTATTTAATATTTATCCACCCAAGTACCCATAAGTGCAACTAGTAACAGCGGTTACACAGATTATAGCAAACATTTGTGGAGAGTTGTGAAGAGTTTCCTTCCGAGACCTAACCGAGTCCAAAGCTTGAGACATGGGAGGAGACCTAGGACCGGAAACCACGACAGCCATCTTGCGTGACGAAGACAGCATCTACTCGCTGGCTCGGTCACCCGGAGAAACGGCCATTAAACCGTGAGGCATTAGGGTCCAATGTTAGGCTCATTACGTCACAGGTTCCTTCAAAGGTAACCGTGTTACGTCTCACGATCTTTTCGAGCCGCCAGAGTTGTCCCAGGATCGTTTCTGTACCCGTTTTAATACTATCTTTAATTCATCTATACAGGCGTTACTTCATGCTAGCAATCTATATCGGTTGAATTTTAAAAATTATTTGGCTAGTACCGCTCAACATATTGGCCTAACTCGGATACTACGCTACACAAGAAGCACCTTGGTCGCATAGCAATTCATCTAGCAGTTTTAAAAAAATCCCTCTGGTTGTAAATAACTTGTCTCCCCTTTAAATTTCTTTGTTTCAATTTTTAAAAAAGCTGCTGTTATTATATAAGTGTTAAACAGTTGGCGCGTTGAGCAAGTGCTGAAGAAGATTTAAATAATTTGTCGCTTGACTGTGGTGTCTGCTGTACATGGGTGTAAACAAATACAGGAGCAGTAGAGTTAATCTCCCTTGACGCGGGCCGGATGTCAGGAAACAGAGGGCATTGTGGTTGTACATATGCTTAAGTGGCGGGGGGGGGGGGTGACGGGCGCCGTCATTAGCGGGTGGGGTATGGAGGTCTGGGACCGGAAATTTGCATGTCTGATGAGGTGGGGGGGGGGGCTTAATGCTGGCTGGATCAAACAGTGTTGTCTTTGTTTGATGGGTGGTGTCAGTTGTTAGTGTCAGTTGTTTGGTGTCAGTTGGTGTCAGTTGTTGGTGTCAGTTGTTGGTGTCAGTTGTTGGTGTCAGTTGTTAGTGTCAGCGACCCATTGGGTAACTGGTGTCAGTTTTGGTATCTCTAAAACAAATTATGATTGATTTTGTGCTTGGTGTCTTTGTTGTTTTGTTGGAGCGAAAAACTGGCGATTTATTAAAAGTAACAGAATATATCCAGACGGCTAGAACATAAAGGAAACATCTTCGTTAGAGATGGTGTGAAGCATAAGCTAGTGTCTTAAACAGGACCTAATGTCTTAAACAGAACATAATGTCTTAAATAGGACCTAATGTCTTAAACAAGACATAATGTCTTAAACAGGATCTAATGTTTTTAATTGTGTGCGCAAAGTTTTTGGAACTTCTTTTTGAGCTTTGCGAATGAATACGTGATGTTGTTGGTAACCACCACTACACAAATATATAAACACATACGACAGAAAATAGGACGAGGTGGAGGTGTGTGTGGGGGAGGGGGGACTACAACACTGTGGTACTCACCAATCAGCGGAATGAGCAGCAGGATTATACAATATATCCAATAGAGGATGCTGTTCATGGAATCCATCTTGGTCACGTGACGGTCAAGTAGAATCCTCAGAAGAAAATGGAACCACACGAACCCATAGGTTGAAAGCTTGACGTCTTTTAGTGTATGATGTCGGGGTTTTAATTAGCGGTTATACACCGTCTTAGCCTAAAATGGAATCCATTTTTGTTTCTAATTAATTATACTGATTAATCTAGAAAATACTCAATCTTTGAATATTAACACAACTATTTTGACAGACCTATAGGCTACACAACTTCATGAAAGGCGCCAAAATTAAATTACCCCCAAAGCTTTAAAAACAAATAATTATCTTTTAATTTTTTAGTACTTGGTTCTTCTTTATGTATGTTCTCTAAATAATATTACACCCCTTTTATTCACTAATGAAATGTAAAAAAAAAAATTGTTTTTTTTTTAAATTTCTGGGGCGAATCACTCGTAAAAATGTATTGTTTACCCTACACTGTAAAGCCTACCCTGAACCTTAAAGTTTAACTGTTTACACTAAGCATACCCTAATCTAGAAAAATAACACTAAGTTAAACTCAACCCCTAATCGTTAAGTTAACAGGAATAAACAGTTAACACAGTAATCCACGGAATGTGGGTTTAAAATTAGCAGATGTTGTGACCTGACTAATTAAAGTACAGTTAATTAGTTAATTAGTCTGTCCTCTCACCTGTGGAATAAAAAAAATTAATTAGGATTGGAAGACTAAGTCCAAAGATAACACATGCATGACTGGTGTAATTAACTGACTCGAGATTTAATTTTAGGAGTTTATGTTTTTACCTGTAGAAAAATGCAGTGTAAAATGTTGTTTTGATTATATAATAGGATGCTGTAAAACAGGTGTTTCGTGTATTGTGTGTGCGTGTGAGCGTGTGTGTGTGTGTGTAACAGGGGGGATAATCGATTGATCGGTGCGTGTAATTACGCAATAGCTCGTGAGTTCGATGAAGTTAAGCTTGCATTGGATAAGCTGAACCACCGGAATAAAAAGCGAGCGTTAGTCGATTATCACAGTTGACTTAGAGATAGTGAAGTCAAAGCTGACTGCAAGCTACAGAAGTCAAAGTTGACTGCAAGCTACAAAGGCCAAAGCTGACTGCAAGGTGCAGAAGTCAAAGTTGACTGAAAGGTACAGACGCCATAGTTGACTGCAATGTACTGAAGCCAAAGTTGACTGCTAGCTAAAGAGGCCAAAGTTGACTGAAGGGAACGGATCACTTGAAGGAATGGACCACGTATTATTGGTCTTCTCTCCGTTGAGATGCCAACGTATAAAAACCAGCCTACACCAACACGATGTAATTCCATTATATGTTGACCCTTTAAAGCGCTGGAACTTAAGTTTCTAGGTCTGTGAGAATCTGCACAGCCCATATGTGTACCTGGCTTAAGTTGGCGAAATATAGAGAGAATAGGAAAAGGACCGCACATATATTAATTGTATAAGCCACGTCGGTATAAAGAAGGTCACTCTACTTCAACTACCCAGGGAAAGAGTCCAAAACATGCTATGTATAACGTAAAACATCAAAGACAAAATTGATCAGTTCGTATCATTGATTCGGCGCTCAACCCAACGATTCGACACGCTTGACTGATTCACGTGGGACAGGTGATGAGTGAAGTCAACCTCTTCCCCCACCCCATGCACACATACACACACGCCTGGGACTTCCCCCCCCCACACACACACACACACCTGGGACTCCCCCCCCCCCCCCCCCCCCCCCCCCCAACAGTTGTGACAGACGTTAGGTCTCAAGCTGATTGATCTTTATGAACGTCTGTCAACAAACAGACGTTAGGTGGGAATGGCTTCCCTGGCAAGCTGTGCCTGGCTGGATCACAGGTTGCCACGATGGCCTAACGTGGTCATAGAGCCTCACGATGGCCTAACGTGATCATAGAAACTCACGATGGCCTTACGTGGTCATAGGTTGCCACGATGGCCTTACGTGATCATAGAACCCCACAATGGCCTTAAAGGATCATAGATTGCCACTATGGCCTAACGCTCGCAACGAACACGATATTGATTTTTTTTCGCATTAAAACAACTCGAATTATCGTATCGAATGACAGGAAGTTTATCAATGCAGCATCTATTATTTAATTTTTTTAAATATTTTTTTAACTCGGCTTTGACAGAGGGTGTATTTTTTTTTCGTTGTTGTGGGAACACATTCAATCGAACGTGTAAATAACACATTCAATCGAACGTGTAAATAACACATTCAATCGAACGTGTAAAAACAACACATTCAATCCAACGTGTATACAACACATTCAATAGAACGTGTAAATAACACATTCAATCGAACGTGTAAAAGACACTTTGAATCGAACGCATAAGCGACACATTTAAACAATGTGTAAAGGAAAAATTTAGCAGGATGTGTGATTGTTACATTTAACCGAGTTTGTAAACGACACATTTAACCGAATGTGCCAACTTCACATTTATACGAATTTGTAAATTACGACATTGAATCGATTATGTAAACGACACATTTAACCAAATGGGTCAACCCAGCTTAACAACAACAATACATTGAGCACACTGTAGCCTAGTTTACATAAGCTATTTCATCCAATACCAACATCTCAATCAGTACTTGTAAGATCTACACACTACACAGTACAATACATCTAGTCAAGGCTGTAAACATGGCATTGAATATAACTACATCTTTCTTCTAGCACATGTTTACCTAACGCCCTTGCTTCAGAGAACACTTTCATGTGACGTATACCATAATACAAAAAAAAAAAACATACACATATTGGTAGGTGCAGATGCCACATAGAAATCTCAAAATAAATAAATAACCAACTGTTTAAAAAGTCACCCAAGAGTTGAAAGAAGAAAAAAAAACTGATTTATTTGCCAGTTGTGTACTGGGTTACTTCCCTTTATCGATTTGAAAAAAAAATCTTTACAGTTTTATTTCATCTCCACCATTTTGTTCTTCGACTGCTGAGTTTAACGAAAGTGGTTAACACACCGCGCCAAACTTTAATAGACCAGGAACGATAATCCTCGCCGAAGATCAGACGACTTAGTTTAAAACTATTTCACGGTTCGAGAAATTAAATGTATTCGCAAAATAGGTTTATTTCGTTAATGCGTTTAAAGCGTTGACTTATTTTAAATCCTATTCTAAATATTTTTATTTTAAAAAATAAGTTCTTTGTTCTATTTATAGATTATTCGCTAGATCACGTGACCATTTCTTGTCATGAAGCTTAGTTTGGTAATCAGAGCTTAGACAGTTCCGGTACTAAATTCCGGCACGCAAACTACACCATTTTAAACCAAAAAAAAAAAATATTCGAACTTACATCATACAAGTCCCATTAGACATCTGCATTATCTCGACCTCTTCAAGTATGAGAAGTAAAACTAAAATACCTAGATTCTAGTTCAAATCATATCCGAATTCGTTGAATCACCAACACCGCCCTACCTCCCTACAACCCCCCCCCACGCACACACACACATACACACAGACACACACCCACACCAACAACAGGATGACGAATCCTGCAATCACTCACAGGTTTAGTCCGGCCGTAGTTAGCCAGATAAACATATAACGCACATCATTCTCACTTGATGTGACATACTTCCCCGAGGGGGTGGGGGAGGGGCATACATCAAAATGACAGGTGTTCACTGCGGATGATTTCAACCTGTCTCAGGTAGTTGTTACAGGGAAGTTATAGCTGCCCTCAGGACAGTCATCCATACCTACACAAACTATACATATACACAAAAACTAACAGTGAAACACTAATCAAATCATTATAAATGTATATAATGCATACATACGTTATATATATATTTACACATATACATGTATAGATACATATATATATATATATATATATATATATATATATATATATATATATATATATATATATATATATATGCATATAGATGTCGCATGAAATCCCGTAAACCATCCCAACTGTAACATGGAGAAGACCTGTAATGTTATATAGAGGATCTATCATATTTCACATAGCAGGTGCTGGATTATGTGCAGGCCCGGGGGATGAGATTGTGTTAGGACCCCTGTAGGCTGGGGTAAGTTACACTAGACGCCGTAGGTTTAAAGCGTTTTGGCAACGGAAAACTCTCTGAGACAATCTTAATATGACACGAAAACTGTGACACGAAAACTGTGACACGAAACCTCTGTGTGACAATATTGATAGGACACGAAAACTCAACGAAGGAACGCAACAAGAAACAAACTTCTTCTGTTTCTCCCTCCCCTCCCTGGGGAGAGACGGGTCAAGGCTACATCTCCAAAACTTTATTCACAGAACTTAAAAAAAAAACAGTCCATTTCCATATATCTTCTTCATTGCGGGCAGTAACAATGCGAATAAACGAAACAATGTATTAAATGAGGACCCATTTTTAGGTTGTAAATCTATCAGAAAATTGTCGAATATTTTAGACAATGCAATGTAGAGAATTGGATATGAGAAAAATATTTGTCTTAATCTTCGCTATGTACACTTGTAGTTTTTTGTTTGTTTGTTTGTTTGTTTGTTTGTGTGTAAATTTTTTTTTACGTTGAAGGTAGTGACAACGGTTATCCCAGACTAGCATGCCAAACTACTAGGAAGTCGAGAGTGTTTGAAACGTATTTCAATAATGCAGGGCCATAACTCCAGGCTTTCGCTGGCTTAGATTAAGCCGTGGGACAAGGGGCGGGGGGAGGTGAATCCCCGAGGGTGGGCCATTGGTCCACGACTTAGTGAGGGAAAATGTGAGGAGAGTGAGTCAACTTTAAAATTAGCCCTGCTCAGATGAAGGTGACGCGTCTAATCACGGGGCAGCTGGTTGAGGGGTTGTTACATTGGAAGCAGATGGGTTGGCGGGTTGGATTGTCATATAATTGGATGGTCGGATTGTCTTGTAAGATAACAGGATGGTTGCCTTGCCTCCTTTTACTATCATATGGTTGGCTTGTCCCGTTATATAGAAGGATGGTTGGCTTGTCCAGTCATATAAAAGGATGGTTGGCTTGTACCGTTATATAAAAGGATGGTTGGCTTGTACCTTCATATAAAAGGATGGTTGGCTTGCCTTCTTTTACCTCGGATGGATGCTTTTT